CTCTCCATTGCTGTTTATGTTGAAAATAAAACTAAAGTTTTCATAGCCACAATATTTTAACTGATTTAAATGCGGAAACTTGGGTTATTCATCAGAATATCGTATGACTTGACTTGACATGACATGTGACTTGCTTGACCTGAGCAATGACTTGACTCTCACCACAGTGACTTGGGACTTGCTTGAGACTTGTAGGTTAAGACTTGAGACTTGCACATGTATGACTTACTCCCACCTCTGTCAGAATGTAAACAGTATACTGTTTTGTTGTTTATTTGTTGATATGTAGATACACACAGGTTGTTTTTTATGCTGCTGCAACAAAAACAAATATATAGCCTATTTAACTGCTTTCCAATGTCATTAAACTTAGAAAAAGGCAGGTTTTTGTTGAAGAAATCAAAGTGTTTCACCCCTCGGGAGTCTGGGAGCGTAACAAAGACTCAACAGTTGGATTGAGTTTGTTGTAAGTGGAGATATAGGAAGATGCACGCTAAGAAATGAACCTCCAACCAATCAGAGAGGGTCAGTTAGAAAAGTAACGATTAAAGTTTCTTACCGTGTCGGTGAACTGGTAGGCGACGAACTTCCTCATCAGAGCGATGGCCGTCGCCCTCTCCTCTCCAATCTGACAACACAGGATTACATTACTAAATATGAGTGTGTGTGTGTGTGTGTGTGTGTGTGTGTGTGTACATGTAGTTGTGATGACGTGTGTGTGTGTGTGTGTGTGTGTGTGTGTGTCAGGACACACACCTTACACTTGACCGTCCACAGATTGGGATCCCTGTCGACGACAAACACATTTTAACATTAATATAAAACTATAATCTACAAGTTGTTCTCGATGCTGATTGGTTAACCACATACTTGACTCCAGGAAGTAGCTGCTGCTGTGTGATGTCATCAGAAAGCTCCTCCGACCCTCCAGGGAAACTGCGCACCACAGAAGAAGAAGAAGAAACAGGATTACCATCACATGTAAATATATAATTTAAAATAATAAATTCCTGATAAAGTGTGTCCGGCGTTTGGGCAAAGATCCATAAATAAATATCAAATGAAATAGAAGAAATTAATAGAAAATTAGAGAAAGTTACCTCATCAGGAAAATCTAATAACTATTAAAGACCCCCTCTCTTTTTGTCCTGATCCATTTCTATAAAAACCTGTCTGAAAATGAGCTGATCAGATTGTGGACACTTTATGATGTCATAACGATGTTTTGTCTTGTGTAACCATTAGCCAATCAGCAACCAAGGTAACCCCCCCCCCCCCCCCCCCTTATCACCTGAATCTCCTCCTAGAGCACCATTGAGTTCTTTGTAACCAAATCTCTCTTAGAGGGGCGTGGGGAGGGGCTCCTTATTTTCATCTAAAGTAACAGACAGAGAATCAGCACTTTTGAAACAGGGCTGAAACAGAGGGGATTATGGGTAATGCTGCAATGATCTGTTTGGTGTTTCAGCCAATCAGAGACAGGCTCTGGATATATCTGAGACCTGTGATATATTGATGAAAGAGAGGATAATAGGGGACCTTTAAGTCCAAATACATATTTTCTCTGTTATTGAGAATTGAGGGTATATGTCTTTCTTTTGATGTGAAATATAATGTATTTAATTTAAATAAAAAGCAATGTTAATTTCTTTCACAATTTGTTTATTTTTTCTCTCCAAAAGAACCGATAAGAGTACCGTTAAAGGACCGGATCGATAAGCAGTAACGATCAAAGTAGTAGTACCGTTAAAACCTTAATGATACCAATCCCTAGTTGTCACATAACGTTAATTAAAAAAAGTATTTCACCCGGAAGTGACGCTAGCGCCTTCATGCCATTAGTTATGTTGTGTTATTTTGGTCATTATTGAGTGTTCTTGTATTTTAATGTGTGTTTTTTTATACCTCGGGACTGTGGGAAACTGTATTTCGATCTTTCTGTGTGTACAAACATATTTTGAGATTGACAATAAAGTTGACTTTGATATTTTTCTAGAAAATCCCCTGAACATTATATATGACTATATATAAAATACATGTTTTGCTGAGAGACCTTAAAGTCTAAACTTCTGGACACATTTAGTTTCCACTACTATTCTTGGCTTCATTGTCGGGGTAAAAGAAGCCCCTATTTGGACTCTTCAGTGCACTCTGCACACGGCTCTGTTGCATCTCACAGAGGGACAGATGCTTTTGATTTGAAGAGAGGACTCACTGCTCTCCTCTAGAAGTCTTGGCGTATTTCCTCGTGTAGTATTCACCCAGCGCCTCTTCTCTGGAGTCTCTGCAACACAAACACACACATTTAACCAATGATACACACACAGTGAGCCAATGATACACACACAGTGAGCCAATGATACACACACAGTGAGCCAATGATACACACATTTAACCAATGATGCACACATTTAACCAATGATACACACAGTGAGCCAATGACAGACGATAATAAGCTTCTTAACAACAACCAATTATATATCAGTTGTAATTTATTGTCTTTTATTGTGATTGTAGTAATGTGTTTTTATTACATGTACAGCACTTTGGCTCGACCAAAAATCGCTTTTAAATGTGCTTTATAAATAAAACTTGATTTGATTTGATTTGAACCGTGCAAATAAATCACTACTTTTTGTGTGAGTCTAATAAAACTAATTATCTCTTCAGGTTACTTAAAACTAAATATACTTTTAAAGACTTTTGAAGCCACTCTGAATTCAAAACAAGACGTGACCTTAATGCGAAATAAATTGGGTTAAAACGAATAGCATATAATCACTTATTTGGACATTCTACAATTCTAACGTCATATCATTCCAATACGGCGCTTCCTCTCCTCGTCTGGTGCATTCAAATGATTGATTACCCAGCTGTGGGAACAGATGTGTTTTTTACCTCCAGAGATTCTGCAGCCTTCTGGATCCGGAGTTATCCTCGTCCAGAACCACATGGTCGATGTTAGACACTGAGAGAGATTAAAACGTCACATGAAAAACACTGTAGTCTTAAATACGTCATTACGACTTAAAGTCCTGAATTCAAAATGCTATTTAAGTAGCAAGTATTATCAGCCAAGTGTACTTAATGTGTCAAATGTAAAAGCACTTAATGCTCTTTTCCTAGTATTCTATTATCATAGCATTTGATATAATCCTGATTTGATTGCTTATAAGGACGTACGAGCATCTGAAAGCAGTTTGTCTTTGTGGAGCCAACTGCAGATACTTTGGCAAATACTTCATTATATTAGTCGTACCGTACTGCATCGTGTCCTAGCAGACTATTATGTGTTTTCATATGTAATCAGTGATTGTTAAATAGATGTAACGTGGTGAAGCAGGACGCTTGTTGGTAGTAGATGTAGCACTCAATGGAAAAAGTACAAGTATGTCAAGATAGTACTTAAGTACACGACGTTAGGGCTGTGCAATTAATCGTTTTTTTGTTTTTTTTTTTAATCGCAATTACGATTTTGGCCTGCCACAATTACAAAAACAACATAATCGAAAAAAACGATTATTTTGCTTTGCTATTTAGTTTAGAGTCTAATTTATTTATCATATTTATATATGTTTAGTAGCTTGTTGAAGTGCGCTCCAAAATATTTGTTGATCTTTTTTATTGGTATTTATTATTTTGATATTATTTATTGGTTTTTCAGTTGAATTATACGTTCAGGGAAATCAACAGTTAAACAGATACTGTTCAAATTATTATTTTAATTTGTTTTAAAGTTCAATAAATTGACGTTTTCAAAGCCAATGAATAATCGTATTTAATAATCGTGATATCAATTATTGACCCAAATAATCGTGATTATGATTTTTGCCATAATCGCACAGCCCTACACGACGTTGATATTCATGTTTCAAAAAAGTGAAAATAAATAATGAACAAGTTAGAATCAAGCTTACCTTCAGCTTCCTCTGCTTTGGACCCAACGGAGAGAGGAAGAGGAAGGGAAGAGGAGGAAGAGGAGAGGAAGAGGAAGAGAGGAGAGGAAGAGGTATAAAGTCAGGATTAAGGTAATTAAAGGTCGGGGGGGAAAATGAGATAAAGAAATAAGGAATGAAAAGAGAGAAACAAACGTTCAGGAACAGAAGAGGACGAAGAAACAAGACGAGGAAGAGGAAGATGGGGACAAACGTGGAGGGTAGAAAAGGAAATGAGAGGAGGAAGAGGAGGAGGAGGAAGAGGACATGAGCCAAAATATATTGTTGATCAGGGCAGCAGCAACACAAAGCATGATGGGAGAAAAAAACAACAGAAACACAAACAGATTAATGATGACAAACAGCACGGAGAGGCATGAGGTCAAAGGTCAGAGTACAGTAGCTTCTAGCCAATTAAACCCTGTTCAAATACCACCTGCTCTCAGCTGCCATCCTATTGGTTGCTCATGTGGAGGCACATCTATATCCGGGACTTTCTTACAACAGCTGCTCACTCATTTGCGCAGTGTCGTCGCAACTTAACATCAGCTGGGAACACTAGAGAGAGGCGAAGTCCCGCCCATCTGCTTCAGACCCATGGGACCTTATTTCAGAAAAAGTATGTATTGAAGTCAATAGTCAAAAGTCGATCCCGTTTGAATTGTGCCATGAATTACACAGATGATGTTTGTCAATCTTAAAAAATCATTTCCATGTCAAAAAAGTCACAGTTTGTCGTAAAACTGTTGAAATATAAGACTATGAAAAATACGCAACTAGAAAGACTACAAATCCCAGAGTCCCGGTCCCGCATGCTGGCTCTTAGGAACCGACTAACTCCCCTTGTGTGTATGTACAGCTCTCAACATGCCCAGACTTGGAGTGATTTTCACCTCTTTTCATACTTTCCACCTCATTCTGAAAGAAAGAAGTGAAATGTGCCAACGTGACGGCCGTCTGGGTGTGTGGTGCGAGACGGGAGATGGAGTTCATTGAGCGGTTTCACACAAAAATAAGTGTTACTTCACAGTTTTACGACACATTTTTATTTTTTTGACTTGCAAAATTATCTTTTAAATTGACAAACATCATATGTGTAATTCATGGCTCAATTCAAACGGTATCGAAAAAGATAATCTTTCTCTCTCCATTGACTTCAATGCATACTTTTTCAGAAATAAGGTCCCATGGAGGAAGGGGGGGACTTCGCCTCTCTATATCTAGATCTTCGTTTTAATGCTGGACTATTTTAAGCGGCGGATGAGTATATTATAAGTGGTTTTTCTGTGAGTTTACTGACAAACATCAGTTTAACGTAGGTGCTCTAATGAAGACTGTGTTCTGCCAACAAAGCACTGATTAAAACAGCAGTCATTGAACGCAACACCAGATTTGAATACAACTCTTTTGAGCTTTTACATATGGCAGAAACTGAGATATGTCCGTGTCTTTTTGACTCAGGATTTGGGCTCTACTGTACTCCTGTCTTTAGTGATATGCACCACCGTGTGCCACATAAACAAAACGCTTCAAACACATCCGTTAGTCCAAAAAACAGAAAATAAAAACATGGCAGCGCTGCACCAGGAAGCAACGTCCGGCAAAGCATCACTTCCTGTTCATTTAGAGCTGAGCAATATCATCATATTATACTCATAACACAATATAAGATCAGATATCAGGCTGGACTTTAAATGTAGTCTTTAAGTGTTATTAATATCAATCTGTTGTTGCCCTCTTAGTCATTAAATAGTCAACGCTCACATTTCATCACAATATTGATATATTTGACTTTCTTCACATCGCCCAGCTCTAAATAACTTCAATGTCCAGATCAACTATGAATGTAAGGGAAATATTCTGTCAAAATCTAACTTTTGGATGCAGTTAAACACCCAATCATATATCTTTAGTTACATCTTTAAAACATTTCTTATTCAATCATGTGCTTATATAGTTGAATCTAACAATAAACATGTGTTTGACTTTTGTTAGCCTGATTCTGTCGCCAATTAAACTAAATTAAGTACATATTCAATCATTCATCCAGCGATCAAATGTGTCGCAACACTTCTTAGGAAGGGTTTGTACCGCTACAATTAAACTACAATTAGCACATATTTGTGACCAATTTTACAGGCAATTACATGTAAATGATTGTGGTTTTTCTTAAAGTTAGCAAGTAAAAAACATGTAAGCACTTTGGATTGTCTTGTGTTGAAAGGTGCTGTACACACAACGTGTCTTTATCTGGATTTAACCGTCAATAACTAACGTGTGAAACCTCAATTAGCACATTTCTGTGACAGATCTTGAAGCCAATTAACTCTACGATTATTGTGGTTTTTCTTAAAGTTAGCGAGTAAAAAACATGTAAGCCTTGTGTTGAAAGGTGCTGAACACACAACGTGTCTTTATCTGGATTTAACCGCCAATAACTAACGTGTGAAACCTCAATTAGCACATTGACTGAGCCAATTAACTGTAACACTAAGTGAGGGAGTTGTGGCTCAATGCTCCAGTGATGGATTTGCCTTCATTGCTTCCTGGTGTCGAGCTTCACAACCAAACATCTGAGATGAGGCGGCGGGGGTTAATTCATTCTGAGAACATGGATTTTATCAAACGGATGAAACTGATATTCCATTTTGCTTCAGATTCACATCAAATGTATGAACACGGAAAATGAGAGCAGGAGAGTATCTGGAGTCCAATTACCGTTAACTGCAGAGGACATGCATGACAAGAGACACGGGTAGGAGAGAGAGGTCAGTTAAACACTTTCAGAAACATCTGCTGCAGAAACCCTCAAAACTCACAACGCTGCAGAACATACGGACTTTAAAAAATAAAAGGGCCTTTTCAAAGCTGAGTCCAAACCGAGGCACGATAGCAACTAGAAGAAACAACTTAACATTGAAACTGTTCTGAAACTGAGATAGAAAAAGTGGAATTATGTCACGTTTATCTGTAACAGTCCCACCATTTTCCACCCAATTGTTGGTTGAATATGCAAGAGTTTAGTAGGTTAGCATAACTCCGCAGCCATACAAAAACGATGTATTAAAAATGTATTAAGTGCCTTGCTATTTAAGTCATTAAAAACATACGTTTCTACAATATAATGCAGGTCACAGCGTTAAAAAATGGACCGCTGACTAATGAGGATGCACAAAGACTCCTACATTAGTAAAAACAAATGTATAAGATGTGAAAGAGGGATTTGTAAGATGCTAAAAGCAGCTGCTAATCAAAGCTAAGCTGCTAATCAAAGCTAAGCTGCTAATCAAAGCTAAGCTGCTAATCAAAGCTAAGCTGCTAATCAAAGCTAAGCTGCTAATCAAAGCTAAGCTGCTAATCAAAGCTAAGCTGCTAATCAAAGCTAAGATGCTAATCAAAGCTAAACTGCTAATCAAAGCTAAGCTGCTAATCAAAGCTAAGCTGCTAATCAAAGCTAAGCTGCTAATCAAAACTAAGCTGCTAATCAAAGCTAAGCTGCTAATCAAAGCTAAGCTGTAGCAGAAGCAGTGCATTTAATAACGACACTGACGTAGACACTGTAAAACGTCAATGTTGATCGGACATATCGAGCTGGTGACAACGACTAAGACTGTTTGATGTTTACAGTTAAATTAGGGAGCAAACATTTAAAAAAAATTGTTCGACATTTGAAACTGTTATAGACCTTAAATGTAATTAATAGTAATAACACGTGATAAAACAAGCAACTGTCGCATTAGATGCTTATTTTCATTTCCAACATGGCTCAAAACTGATGGGGGAAAGGCAGTTTAGGCTATTATCATTGCAAGACATTTTCACATTAATAACATTTAATACAATATAACCTTGTTTTGGTCCAAACTGAAACACCTACATGTGATGCAGCTATTATTCATGTTATGAAAATGCTCAAATATCAACAGGAATGCTGCAGTCATGTTTGAAATAAGACATTAAACTGTGAGGCGGATTTATCGCCAAGGAAAGAGCGGAGAAGGTCACATGCAGAGAGATCTAGTTTCATTTTCAGGCTATTGTTTTTAGTATTTTCAGAACATCTCAATATTTAGATTTTATTTTGAAATTCTGATTTTTTTGTAATCTTACGGTACGTCCACACGGCAGCGTTGCGTGCTTCAACGGAGACGTCACGCTTTGCCGAACTGCATTGTGGTTCCATTCAACGGAAACGTCAGCCAATCAAATCATATGCCAGTACAAGCGCTAGCCAATCAAACCACGTGCTTGTGTGTCCGGGGCGGGAGATTAATGTGATTGGTTGTTGGTCGCACGCCAGACACGCCCACCGGCAAGCTTCAACGCGACGGAGCCGTGTGGACGTACCGTAACATTCTGTACTTTGTTCAAAAAATGCTGTCCTTTTCCGAAATTCCTTGGAATCGTGACTTTATTCTCAAAGTCCCAACTTTTTTAATATTCTCTGAAAATCTCAAAATTCTGTATTTTATCCCAAAATTCTGACGATTTTAGAAAATTGCAAAATTCTGACTTTATTTTTGGAATTCTGATATATATTTTTTTTCTCTTCTTATTTTTCAAAATCTCAAAATTCTGTATTTTTTCCCCAAAAATGTTGACTATTTTAGAAAATCTTAAAATGCTGACTTTTGGGAAATAAATGTTTCACTTTTTTCTCAAAATCCGGAAGTTTTTCAAAAATGCTCATCATTCTGAATTTCTTTTAAAACTATTTTTAGAAAATCTCAAAATTCTACCTTTTAAAATGATGACTTTTTTTTCTCTACTCTGAAGGTAAAAAGTTCTCACACAAAAAGAAAATATCTTGATGAATGTTTTAACCACTACAGACTCTAAACAATGCGCCAGTGTTTCCAAGCCCATTAACTACTAATCGTCCATATTTAGTTTTATTTCCAAAACATGCTTCAGTTGTTTGGGAGAATGTAATCCGTCACGTCTCTTATCTTTGCGATGTGGTTCAGGTTCAGTGGGTTCTCATTATCAAACATCTGCAAGTTAAGTGTCCTGAAATCACCTGAAACTAAGAGTTCAAATAAATGAAGAAACAGGAGAACATTCTTTGGAAAGTTGGAAGCAGCTATGAGTTCTTTTTGTGAGTGCTCCATTAACGAGAGCCCGGCTGCTCTCAGGAGGTCGCTTTGCAAGTTTCAAACCCAGGTTGAGATCATCCTTTTAATTACGCACTCATGAGGAAGAAATGTGGCCTGCAGATGTTGAAGTGCTGTTACCAACTTATCTGGTTTAAAGTGGACCTATCATGCTATATTTGAATAATATAGTGATATATATAGATCATGCATTTTAGCCATGCCTCATTTCGCTCAATTTGACATTTTTTAGCTCTGTTTTAGCAAGGGCTGATTCTGTGAGAACAGCACCATCTACAGGCCTGGCATATGTACTACAGCGTCTCCAGCGCTTTCGAACGGCAATGGCCGTGGCTGTCTCCTCCTGATTGGTGGAGTTGGCCCAATAGCCGTAGCGCCACCGTCCTGACGTCAGGACAGTGTTCAAATCTGGATCAGTTTTTATCAGATCCGTTGCAGCCCCTTTTTTAGAGATTTGGGTATGGAGGAAAATAGAGAGGGTTGTGTTTTCTGACACTTGGTGAGTTCCCTGGAACACCGGGGACACATATTCATGTAGAAAAGACGTACAAAAGTGCATTTTGCATGATAGGTCCCCTTTAAGGGAAAATAGATTTTGTCTCTCTACGTGGATAGCTCCTTACCTTTCTCCAGAATATCTTCCGCTCCTTCCTCCCACTGATCCTCCTCATCCTCATACTCATCGTCCACATCTATGGAAACAGAAAAACACAACTACTTAAACTCCATTTCCTTCCCTTAAAAGCAGCAGGGAGTTTCAGGGATTCAGAAACAGCAAACATATTATTTCCGTACACATCACTGCACAATGCATCACACACTTAAATGGCCTTTAAATGCATTCACTTTAACCCCCCCCCTTATTTAAAGCAGTATTTTGCACCTTACTCGTCAAATGATCAAGTTAGACACGCTGTCCACATTTATTTCTCTGTCCCCTCTGCAAAAAACTCTATTGTCAGAAGAGCGTTGATGTTTAAAGCCCCAACAGAGTGGAATACTTCACCTGCTGCTATAGACCATCATTGGGTATGTTTCAGCATTATCATCTCTATCAAATTGTAATGAATGTATGCATGACTTCATACATTTTACTCAACGTGTGTCCTTGTTCGTCATGCTTTGCTTTCTGTTATTTTGTTCATGTCTATTTTGTTTTTTTCCGTTAACTGTCAAGTGGGAAATAAGTAATTTTTTTGTGTTTCTCTTATTATCCTACGATACTGTTAAGTTTGTAACAGTATCGTAGGATAATATCGTTTGTAAATCTCAAAATTCTGGCTTTTCTTCTTAAAATTCTGTCATTATTTTTTTTTGTACTATTTTCTGACCATCTCAAAATTCTGACTTTTCTTCAAGATCTCAAAATTCTACCTTTTTCTTAAAAATTATTACTTTTTTTCTCTACTCTGTAAGTAAAAAGTTTCTTTTTGATCTTAAGTTTTAAATGCTCATCATTCTGATTTTTTCTTTCTTAAAAATCACAACTTTTTTTAAAACTATTTTTAGAAAATCTCAAAATTTTGACTTTTTTTCATAAAATTCTATCATTTCTTTTTTCGTTGCTTTTGTCCCTTGAAAACCAGATGGTGCATCTCAAGGGGTTTATCCTAATAAATACATTTCTATATCATTCTCAGATCAGCGTACCGGCTTCGTCTAGAATGAAGCCTCCGTGCCTCGGCTTCTTCCTCGGGCGCTCGTCATCGTCTTCCTCCTCCTCTTCATCGTATTCATCCTCCTCCTCCAGCAGGTCTTCCCCCTCCTCCTCTGCTACCTTGTCGCTGCCCACAGGGCTGTTCGTCTCCTGGGGGGGGAAACAAGAAAAAGAACTGACTATCAGATACCACACTCAGTGTTGCCAACTCCATAGTAAGGAAAGTAGCTATTGGCTGTCCGAAAAGTCGCCAGAAGTCCCTAAATGACGTCATCGCCTAATTTGCATATCATGTAATAGCGGTAAAAAAACTTTCCACCCCCTTCAAGGATCAAAACTTGAAACCACCAGAGTAAATCCAGACGACAGTAGATCAGAAATGTAGAAAGTAGTTTTAGTAGAAATCTCCCTTACAATAAAGGCAGTATAGTATGCCCGTGTGTCATCTCCAATAAATGGCTTCAACCATCCTTTAAACTCAGGGTTTGATTCCCACTCCTTTCTGTACTTTTGTGAATACAGTTTAGACTGTGACATGATGACCTATGTGGATGTTTAGCTTGTCACAGAGGCACACACACAGTGGACGAGGTGATTAAGTGACTGAGGCTGTGTGAGTCAAAGCAAAGCAAAGGCAGTTATTTATTATAGTGTGACAGTGAAGAAACATTTACATTTCACATTTAAATCCCGCTCATGCGCAATTCATTTGCCGTCTCGACGCGGGAGAGTGTGGCTGTCTCCTCTCTGCTCTGACTGCGGGAGGCAACTGTGAGTCTGAGCGCCTGTGAGTACTATGGGAGGGCAGAGGGGCTCACGGCAGCACCCACGGCTCGTTAACTGCTGAACAATATGTGAGTCTCCAAACACCAGAAAAGTCCCTAATAACACCATTACAAGTCGTTAAATTAGTCGTTAGTCGCTTTTGACAAAAAGAAGTAGCCGGAGGGTTTGGAAAGCCGCCGAATTTAACGAGAAAGTCGCCAAGTTGGCAACACTGACCACACTGTTACAAGTAAAAGTCCTGCATTGAAAGGGGTTCGATATAATCAATAAAAGCCTCGAGTCTTAGAGCAAAAATAAGACCTCTTTTATTCAGTTTATATTAACAGCTAAATGAAATAATGGGTTAAATCAACACCATCATGTACCAGCTGCATAAGAACACAAACGCTCAATGTGTATTCATGTCAATCAATCAGAGTTTATTTATATAGCCCAATATCAAAACATTTGTTTCAGTGGACTTTCTAGAGAATATGAATACGACAGCCTTGTGAAATCTTGAATAATCGATTAATATTCGCCAGGAATTTGATCATGGTCAGTTTCTGGCATCCCTAACTTGGACCAAATCTGTGAGTGAGCTTATAGAGCTTCTCAGAATCAGAATACCGTTATTCGTCCCACAGAGGGGACATTCGCATTTGAAACAACAAGAAAAGAGACAAAGACAGCTTAATGTTAACCAAGAAGCATGCATACAAAGTATACAAGATAAAGAGAATCACACAATTTATCAAATAGACATCCCACATCCTCCGCTGTCACAAGATACAGGAAATCATTCCTGCCATAACTCTGCATCACAGCTCCTCACCTCTGGCTGGCACAGACCTCACTTCCCCATAGTTGTAGTTCCATAACCCACGAACAACTCACATAACAGCCACCTTGTACTTCTGCAATTGATATATTCCCCATTCACGTCATGAAATCCGTAACGCTCCTTCTCTGGACATCTTCAAGTCAACCCTGAAAATATGTTTAAAACAGCCTTCCTACCTTAGTTACTCATCCCTCTGCTTCACAAACTACATCACACATCGCCGCACCTGCTTTCTGTCTCCTTGTCTTTAAATATTTTAATGTCTAAACACACTGCTGTTCCTGTAACACAAGAATTTCCCAATTTGGGATAAAGTATCTATCCATCCATCTATCCATCCATCTATCCATCCATCTATCCATCTATCTATATATCGCTAACTTTGGTACAGCTAACAGGCTGTTGCACTTTACCTGTCAAATAAATAAACTATTAAATAAGTGAATAAAAATCAGGGTGACTTTGAAAATTCTGATTATTAATTTGAATGATATTCTTTTAGTACTTTAAGTATATTTGATGCTAATACTTTTGTACTTGTACTTGTAACAGAGTATTCCTACACTCTCCTACTTCTACTTTTGCTCAAGTACAAGATCTGAGTACTTCTACTTTTGCTCAAGTACAAGATCTGAGTACTTCTACTTTTACTCAAGTACAAGATCTGAGTACTTCTACTTTTGCTCAAGTACAAGATCTGAGTACTTCTACTTTTACTCAAGAACCAGATCTGAGTACTTCTACTTTTACTCAAGTACAAGATCTGAGTACTTCTTCCACAAACAAACAAGTAAGTAAACACATGTCTTTAATTTCCTATCATTAGTTAGCAGTATTTATATTCAGTTATTTTTCAGCAGTTGGTTCCACTTTAACGCGCCACATTGCCTCTCTGTGTTTACAGTTAGCAGTTAGCCTAACGTTAGCTCACGGTTACCTCAATCCCCTCCGCCTCCTCCGCCTCTCCGTCGCTGCTGCCACTCGCGTTTTCGGAGAAGTCGCTGTCCTCACTGTCCGACATCTTGAAGCCCCGGGGAAGACTGTGGATACGAACAAGCAAGAAAAACACACTTAAATGAGGAGACAAAAAGCAGCTAACGGCCATAACAATCACATCTGGCCTAGCAAAGCATGCTAATGTAGTTTTCATGAATATCTCATAAACAACCGCAATCAAATGTGAGGAAATGAGCCCAGCGGCTGCTACTCACCTCTGTTAAATCCCGCTTCTGCTTTATATCTTGTTAGTTGATGGATAAAAGGAAATATAAGCCTTTTTTCGGTTAGCCTGATGCTACACGTCTTCTTGGAGAGCCGACCGCGAGATTTCAGTAAACTTCGTGATATCTCGCGAGGTTTTGGACGGTGGCTGGGTGAATAGTGAGCGAGGTGTCACTCTGCGAACATTTTGAGGTACTTATCTCCAAATAAATTATATGCTATCAATAATAAGGGCAAGTAACTCAGAATAGTAGTTACTTTCCACAAAAAAACTCGTGTATGTTTATATTGAAATTAGCTTTATTCCACTTTCAAACAGAGATAGAAATAAACAAGACTGTGATTCCAGTTTTTTTAAATTGTATTTATTTTATATGAGTAAGGGGTCATACAGAAATACTTCAAATCAAAATAGGATAAAAAGGTAAATAAATGAACAAGCACATAATGGGATAACATAAAGAAACATATAGCAAACCAGGAGTCAACATACACCACATGTGTTTTTATTTTTAAATGTACATGTATTCATTTTTTTTTAAATGCCAGTATCATTATCACATTTATTTAATCTACTTGACTTTGTTTGTATAATCAAATCAAACTTTATTTACAAAGTACTTTTCATACACAAAGGTACCTAGACCAACCACATTGACGATTTACACACACAAAAACAATACTATCTCCCCTTTCATATATATAATAAATAAATAAATACATATACATTAAATATAATTAAGTTAAAAGCCTAATTAAAAAGGTGGATATTGATTATAAAGTCTTTCAAATTGTAAACAGAGTAGTTCCTCCTTACAAAGCAGTATCTGTTTTACGTCATGACGCAATCACGTTCTCCCTACAACCAGCCAATCAGATCACGCGGTTCAAGGAGAGCCACAGAGATACTTCCTATTGACGCAGCAGCAGCTTCCTGAAGCACGCAGTTGGATTAAAAACAAAACAACAGACAGTTTTTCTCCAAATTTCTCATCCAGATCCAGAGATGAACAGCGTGGGGGAGGCGTGCACCGACATGAAGCGGGAATACGACCAGTGTTTCAACCGCTGGTTCGCGGAGAAGTTCCTAAAAGGGGACCAGGGCGGAGATCCGTGCACAGAGAGCTTTACACGGTACCAGCGCTGCGTGCAGACCGCCATCAAGGAGAAGGACATCCCGGTAGACGGGGTGGAGTTCATGGGGCCCAACAAGGACAAACCCGAGAGCTGAAGAAGAGGAAGAGGAGGAGGAGGAAGAGGAGACTGATGGCCGCTGATCCGGTGATCCTGAGGTCATTTAAAGGCCTAACAAGCGAGGAGAGCGTCCATGTGCGTCCACTGAGCATGCGCAGAAGGGACGGGACGCTGCAGGACAACACTGGAATCTGAACTCTCTTTACTGTGTGTGTGTGTGTGTGTGTGTGTGTGTGTGTGTGTGTGTGTGTGTGTGTGTGTGTGTGTGTGTGTGTGTGTGTGTGTGTGTGTGTGTGTGTGTGTGTGTGTGTGTGTGTGTGTGTGTGTGTGTGTGTGTGTGTGTGTGTGTGTGTGTGTGTGTGTGTGTGTGTGTGTGTGTGTGTGTGTGTGTGTGTGTGTGTGTGTGTGTGTGTGTGTGTGTGTGTGTGTGTGTGTGTGTGTGTGTGTGTGTGTGTGTGTGTGTGTGTGTGTGTGATAAGTTGCTTCCTGCATAGGTCATTTGAGTTCTTGTTGAGCTTACAATTCGTGTGTGTGTGTGTGTGTGGTTATTTGAGTTCTTGTTGAGCTTACTTTTCCTGTGTTTACCAGTTATTTTGTGTGTGGTTATTTGAGTTCTTGTTGAGCTTACTTTTTCTGAGTTTATAATTTAACTTCTGGTGTGTGTGTGTGTCACACTGGACTATGTGTGTTTGCAGATTTAAACACACAGATGATGATTGTTTTGTTTCTTATTTTGTGGGCTGTTATAGTAACTGGAAGATTGCTTGTATTCAATTAATCAATCAGAATATACAATCGGCAACTATTTTGATAATCTATGATTCTTTTCATGCAAATGTGCAGATATGGAGGCTTTCCTCTGTTTTTGTATCCGATGAAGTGAATATCTCTCTGGGTCTTGGAATGACAAAACACCCGAACAACTTGTAGAGAGTGGGATTCCTGACATGTATAGACCAAATGATACTAAATATCGAATTAATAATGACAGTGTTGTGTTATTTTCTACAGATGAGTTGATCTAATAACTGATGTTTGTTTTATTTTAAAACCTGCTGCTCATATTTTGGTTTTGTCTTTATGAAATGAATGTGGCTCAAACAATTATTCAAATGTGAAATAAATGGGACATTGTTATATAAATAATCTGACTGCAGCTTCTTCTTTCCTCTGTTTATATAAATACACCTTGGGCATCAGCAGGAGAGAACTCTTTAAAGTAGAGACACTACAAACTGATATACACCTGAACATCAGCAGGAGAGGACTCTTTAAAGTAGAGACACTACATACTGATATACACCTGAACATCAGCAGGAGAGGACTCTTTAAAGTAGAGACACTACATACTGATATACACCTGAACATCAGCAGGAGAGGACTCTTTAAAGTAGAGACACTGTTGGAGCCATTTTCATTTAGTTATTGTCTGAATGTTAGGCTTAATAAAAGTAGATTAAACTCTTAATTATCAGGTATTTTTGTGAGTCACACTATGGTTTAAAATGTATTAATTTAAGGCTCACTTAGTTGTTATTAAATGTGCGTCAGTATCACGTGCATGGCTATCTGCCTATATAGCCTATAGGTTGATCACCATCACCATCAGCTGTGTCCTATAGGACACAGCTGATGGTGATGAGACGGGGAAGCGGAAAAGTATTTTGACCGTGTTCTTTTTGTTCTTTTGGAGACTGTTAACTTTTATTTAGTATGAAGCGAAGAAATGTGTCCTGCTGTTTATATGCCGTCTGGACTAACGAATAAAGCTCATCTGATTCAACCACGTTCTCCGCTAATTTGTTTGGAAACAAAGAGAGGCGCGTCGAAACCATAGACTGTATATATCTGTCGAAACCCACAACCCCGATAGAGGTGGCTATTACATTGTAAACCAGGATTAAAACGCCACCACATTTAGTCAAAAGACTCCGCAAGATGTGGATAAAAACTTCGAGGGACTTCGTGTGGATTTCAGCTCTGCTTTGGAAACAGCGATCGGATGATCGAAAGTGCCGTGAGGAGGAGGCCGAGAGTAAACCATGCCGGCCCGGAATTTATGAATGAAACTGTTTACAAAGAGATCGCTTCGTCAAACAATGCAAGGACTGATGTGTGCATAGTTACGGATATTTGACCAAACGAAACGGGAAATCCATCCAGTGATATCATGATGCTTACTGAGGATGATATGAAATGGAAATTATCCTAATTTCTGTTGGAATGCTTGAACAATGAAATGCATTAATGAACTATCACGCAGTTAAAGGTGGGGTATGTAATTTATTTCAGAAACACTTTTTGTTATATTCCATGGAATGCTCTTAACATCCCGATAGCAATGAATATATTAAATGCTTTGACGATAAATACATTTAAAAAAATGTCATCTGTGGAAGCCGTGGCACTGTAAAAAGCACGACCAATCATTTGAGCGGCCCGGCTGAAATAACTGGATGGCAGTGGCGTTTTCTCCCGGAGGCCAAGGGAAGCCAGGCTTCCCCTGTTTTTTCGGATTGTAGTTATAATTTAAATAAATAAATAAAAACACTTTGTTTTGTTTCGATAATTCTCCTTTGCTGTTGCTGCCGGCCCGTCTCTCCCCCACTCTCATTGAGTATTTTACAAAGAAAGAGTGAAACAAACAGCGCCCCTCTCTAGATGTTATGGTGAAACAGTAGATTGCATTCACTGTTGCGAGAGGAGGCCAGGGGAATCTGGCTTCCCTTGGTGAGGGATTGACCAATCAGATGAGGCCCACGTGATGCCCCTGCCAACCTGTGATTGGTCAGGGCCATGCCAAGGGAAGCCAGCCGTCTCTAGTTTCCCTTCAGAGGCCCGAAGTTAAGTAAACTGATATAAACTCCCCAAACAGGTTTTAAACTTTGAATCAAATCCTGTAAATCCTGAAAATCCTGAAAATCTCCGCTCTGCTGACCACAATGCACTGCAGTTCGGATAAAAGTGAGGCAAAGTGGCTTCACCCCATTCAAACCCTTCTTTTTTATTCATTACCGAATCTGCACTGCGCATTGAGCGGCTGGTATTGCATTTGGGGGGGGGGCGTGTCTGCATAAATTAACCCAACCCAAAAAAATGGGCTTCTCCTAAATTTTTCCCCACGCCACGCTACTGCTGGATGGCCTACCTGCCTGTCAGCCTTCCATCTGTGCACAAACTTATCTCGTGCCCTCATTGGTCATGTTCATGTGTGTTGGAGGAGGGGCTCTGTAAGGAAGAGGCAGATTTCTTTCGGCTGTGTATTTTCAAATTCTAGCGCACTCGAGCTGGTTTCTCCAAAATGACCTACCCCACCTTTAAGGAAGCGGACGTTAAAGGAATGTTTGGCACAAAAACAGGATTCATGAAGAACTGTTCTTGGAAATATTGATGACTTTATTTCATGTGGATTAATTGAAGAAAATGAAACAATGGATCCTGATATTCCTCCAGCTGATGTTGCCGCTGCAGAGGAGAGATTTAAAACTCTCAGCCAATCGCGAAGAGGAAAACTTGGAGCATGCACCCGCAGAATGAATGAAATGAAAGCATTCCTGGTGGAAAAGGTGGATGAAGCTGTTGCAACGTTCAAGATGTTACTCAATGTATGGAGTGTCATGGACTTGTTCAAATGCTTTTATCTGAGGAAATAAGGGAAACTGAGAGAATGGATTGGTATGAACCAAAAATGTCTGCATTCATGAATTTCCTTAAGGATGTGGAAAAGCTCTCAGGAGGATCCTCAGACACTGATTGAACCCCATGACAGTGTGTCCAATGCATCAGCCAGGAGGAGCTCACCAGGTTCAAAAGCAGAATCAGCAACTTCTTCTGCTTCCTCAACCCACCTCAACGTGGCCACGGAGAGAGCTGCCCTCCTTGCCCGGGCAGCAGGATTAAAAGAAAAGCATGCATTTGAAATGGAAAAGGCTCAACTGCAAGTAGATCCGAATGGAAATGGAAGTGAGCCGAGCTGAATCTGATGCAAAAATGAAAGTCCTGGAGCATTTTGAGACTGCATGGTTCACAAATTCCAACACGAGCAAAATATGATGGCATGAATGACTATTTCAAAAAGCTACAGAGTCAATCAGATATGTCAATGGATGCAGAGCCGTCTCCAATTACGTTGGCTGAGTTTGGACCTATTCCCAAAACACCACTTCAAAGGTATACCAACAACCAAGACCACCAGAAAATATTGGTAATTCAAACCAAAGCTCTCAACACACAGCTAGAGATGCAGGAATTACAGGGACAAATAATAATGACAATTTCCTGACTGTGATGCAGAGACAAAATGACATTGTTAATTTACTTGTACTTCAACACAAACAAGCATCACTGCCCAGCAGGGAAATCCCAGTTTTTGATGGCAATCCCCTGAATGATCAAATATGTATGAGGGCATTTCAACATGGCATTGAGGAGAAAACCACCAGTAACCAGGATCGATTATATTACCTGGAACAATATACTTCAGGATCCTGCAGAGAACTGAGAAGCTGCATACGGCTCATTCTTTCAAAGCTACCTTACAAACTAATGGCGCGTTTCCACTACAGCGCGGAGCACGGTTTAAGAGGGCTGTGACGTCAGCGGCCCGTCTTTGGTTGCGTTTCCACTTGGCCTAGTACCGGCCGGCGGGTCCTAATTCACAGTTTTTCTGGCCTCATAAAATCGTGGGTCTAGGGCCAGAGACAACGAGGCTGAGTCGGGCTGAGTATGCTAAACTAGAGAGAGCATCGCTGGCAAGGGGGCTACAACTACAACAAGATGGACATATTTGACCGTGATTTAATTGTAATACACGTTTCAAAATGATGCCGAAGTAACAACATACTGATACCGGTTAGTAAAAACCATGAATTAATGCTTTGTCAAGTCTGCAGACAGACGGCAGGCGAAAAACCTTTTAAAATGCGTGTTTTCTAAATGGAGATTGGCTAAGCTAACGCAGTATATGCTCCGACCGTCCACACTCACAACAACGGCCTATACAGACATAAATAAAGCAGCGACTGTATTCACCATGACACAGGCAGTCTGTGGTGTGTACTTGTTTAACTTTTGTCTAGTTTCTGAACATATATGAGGAGCTGTGAGCTCTGAGTGCTAACAGCTAACGGCTGTGTTGTTTTTCTGGGGTTTCTCTGAAGATCACGTCACGGCTCCGCCTACACTGCGTTACTATAGATACTACCCCAGTTCCTAAACTGTAATGGAAATGCGCCATAAAGTGAGCCAGTCCTAACGAGGCCCAGCCATAC